AGGAGTGTCAGCTTCACCTGGGTACTTGATTGAAATGAACATTCTAGAATCCCACCCCAGACCTTTTGAATGAGAAACTGGGGCAGCAATCTGTCTTAGCCCTCCATGTGATTCTGATGCAACCTGAGCTTTGAGAACCCTCCTCCAAACGCCACACAGTCCTCACACTTATGCTCAACCTGGAAAGAGGAGTCAGCAGTGACACCCTGTGGAGCCAAGGGAAGCTTGCACATTTTCTGTGAGTGTACCTGCTAAGATAAAACCGTCGTGATCTGTTTTTTGCACTGAAAATACAAAGCTGATTTCTTTCCCTGTAAACTATTTGCTTTAGGATCCTGCATTCATTTTGGTCAAGCAGACTGGAGTTTTTTAATTCAGCAAACATTTATTCATTCATCACCAAGTAGGTGTAAAGGACTGCCAATAGAGGTTGTGCAGAAAATAGAAAACATATCAGATTGGCCCCTGGAGCAATGTACCACCAGTTATGTTTATAACAGCACCAGCTACCATGTGAGAATTCGCTGTGTAGCAGGCGGTGTGCTGTTTTATAAAACTCACTCAATCCTTATGAGCTAGAGATGTATTTATTATCCTCATTTTATAAGAAAAGAAATGTAAATACTGACTCTTGAAGTGTATGCTTTTAATCAAAAAGCAGAGCTTCTTAAAGTGATCTCCAAAGATCATTGTTACAAGAACTTAGTGCACTTGTTTCAAGTGTAGATTCCCAGAAACCCACCAAATCAAGGCATGCTTAACAAGTACCCAGGCAAATATTACACACACTACAGTTTGGGAACTACTATACCACACTACACTGCCTCCATCAAAGTACTGGCCTTCAAAGTATTATGGATCTTACCCTGAAACGGGTTAGCATCAAAGATTTGTAAAGCAGTGGCAAAGAGATGATTAAATTTGTATTCTAGGGAGATCTATGTAGTGGCAGTATGAATGGATTAGAGGAGGATGGTGGTAGTAGTAGAGACTGACTTTTTCATCTTATCAGAAAAAAAGCATGTCACACTGAGACATCAATGCCAGGTGATGGTCTAGGGTTCATTCCCTAAGTGACTTGCTCATTGTTTTATGAGTATCTCAAATTCTTGTTTCAGGAAAGTTCAGTTTTAAGAGTTGCATGGAATCTGAGCTAGAAATCCTGAACAAGTACTAGGAAGACAACTTAGACAAGATAATCTAAAAAAGATAAAATAGGGTCAGGATTGGAGCTTTGGCCTAAGGATCATCCTTTTACCAAACTTTTAAAATAATTTTAAGATACTGTTTAGAACCTATTTCAATTCTATAGATTTCAACAACCCAATAGATTGTCTTTAAGTTCCTTCTGACAATTTTTGGGGTTACTATCACTTTAAAATTTTTCAGCTTTGATGCTTCAAATATTAAAATCGAGTTATTCTAGCATTGGTTATACAAGTTGTGTTATGCCCCCTGGTGGCAATATGGATAGGAAGATGAGAAACATATTTCAATCAAAAGAGAGCCAACTTAATTGAAATAGGTGGCAGGCCCTGAACCTGAAATGGAATTTCATATAAAACTTTTCTGGTCTTACTAAAAATAGGAAACATCCCGTTAAACTAAAATCAGATGTATTAACTTCAGCCTTATGAAGGTACATATTTCAATTTCCCTTGCTTTGTCATAAAATGGATTAGTTCCTTGAAATATGTCAGTTGAACTTGAAATTAAATATTTGCTCTACATATAGCTAATAAGTAGCTGGACTCATAAAAGATAACTAAAGTCTATATAGACAGAATTTCCTTCAAGATCAGGCCTCAGCGTATGTCGCATATACATGACGCCACTGCCTTCTTTCAGAGCATTCATTTCCCTATATTAATAAACTTTTAAAGGTTACATAGCCCAAATAGTCATTTCCAAGAAGGTGTTAGAAAAAAGTTCTAAGTTTTGTCATTTGTTCTCCAATCAAAACAGCCAAATATAGGTTTTAATGTGGATTATACTGAGGGCTTCTTAAGGCTTTTATCTGTTTGGGGGCAAAAAAAGATGAGTGAAGATACTGAACTACTAGAAGTTCTGTTGATGTTTGATGTGAAAAAAAATGCACGAAAGATAAGTATTTCTTCTTGGATTAAGATAACTTGCCTCAATGGCTATATTATTTGGTCATAGGAGAGAAAAATGGCTATTCCTTAAGTAAACAAAGTGGCTAACCAGGTGCCTGGCACTATGCTATACTATTAGTACTAAAAAAAGAGACACAGTCACTGGCCTCAAGAAACATGAAGCCTAGCAGAGTGGAGGACGTGTAAAAAATTATAGTATAATGATACAAGTTATAGTGAAAATAATAACAGAAGAAAAGGAAAACCTGACATTTAAAAAGGTATTACAGCTGTAGTTCGGGTGGAGACTTGAAAAATGCATATTTTCCAGTTGGACATACAAAAGAAAAACTGTGAGAAGAAATGTGAAAACACACAAAAGTGTGAGGTGCTAAGGAAGCTAAAACAGTTCAGTATTACTTGAGGATAAAGTTCAAATGAGAACTGCCAAGAGAAAAGACATGAGAGCCTAGAGTATGAAGGGTCTTGAAACTCATGCAAATTTCTCCTGTAAGTGACAGGTCCCAAAACTTCCTCAGTTCATAAAGCCCTGAGTGTATCAGAAATTCTTTTACTGTGCCCCTTGGCCAAAAATATCAAAAAACAAGAAACTTAACAGTTCCATTATCAAGCAGTTTCAAGTATCAAGTTGAACCTAAGCTCAAACAACTTAACAGGCATTTATGCCCTAGCAACGTGTATTTAAGAAAGAAAAACACACAAACTGAAAGAATATTTTTATTCTACTCTTAGATAGCCAATTATTAATGGAATGTACATGCCTATCCGGCAATGTACAAATTCTCAAACCCTGAAATCAGATTGGATATTGCCACCCTCATTTCTTATTCCATAATGATTGTCATGTGATATCTGATTTATATCACAGCAAATGCCAAAAACCCAGCTTCATAAAGATATATCATTGAAAGGAAGGTAGTGTGATCTAACATTGAAACTGTGAACTGCTTTGAGCTAGTAGTTTGCATTGGTGTCCAACAGATAGCAACTATCACTGTTTTCTTTGCAAATTTAAATATTGCACGGTTTCTCTGTGAGTTCACTATGGCACCCGAGCAGCACAATTTGAAAATCTAAAAATCTTTGTAAAAATTACTGACATGATCTAATTTGCATGTTTAGAATAACCTAATATCTTTGTAGAGGTGGGTTAGAGACTGGAAGCCTGGTAACAAAGATTACTGCAAGTATACCAGCTGAGAAATGATGAAGATGTAAACTGCAACATGGGCAAAGATGTGAGAGAAGGAGACTTGGGTACATCAATGGAGCTCTTGCTAACTAAATGGATATAAAGGAGTGAGGGGTAGTGGCGTAAGAAGGAAAGTGGGCGAGTTCCTTTTCCATAACATGTTTTTAAGTATTTTGATAATCATACTTGAATCTAATCGCTTGCAGTCCTGTGTTTTATTTCACGCATGAAAAACATTACCCTGAGAAGGCCCATTAGGCTTCACCAGAATGCCAAAAGGTTAAAACCATTTACAGTCATCCCTCAGTATCTGCTGGAGATTGGTCCCAGGACCCACCTCAGATTTTGTCAACTTATGCTCTGGTCCTCTGTATCTGTGGTTCTGCATCCACAGATTCAACCAACTGTGGATCATGTAGTTCTATTGAAACAAATTCACGTAAAAGTGGACCCTTGCAGTTCAAAGCAGGGTTGTCAAGGGTAAACTGTACTGGCTATTGGATACCCAAGTCTGAAATTCCAGAAAAATATGACAGGTATAACTAAATGTATATAATGCAGTAAAAGTTGCATGGATGTTTATAATTCGTGATTGAAGTGGTGGGTGTTGATAAAAGTTTTCAAGGAGGGGTACAGAGGTTGAGAAGAGAAGGAGGGTCAAGGGCAGAAGTCTAGACAACACAAACACTTCAGAGAAGAACAGAGAATGAGGCCCTCATGGAAAAACATTTAAAAGGAACAGACAGAATTAAGAGAACCAAGAGAGCAGTGTTACTGAGACAAAGGGAAAAGAGTACTGGACAAGTAGAATGTAAGGACGATAAAGATTAAAACACATCCAGGGAATCTTGATAACTATTAACGTGATCTTAGAAAATTCAGTGAATTAGTATGGAGAGAAGTAACAATGCCATGATGGGCAGGGAATGAAGTAGAAGCACATGTAGAGATTAGGTTTTCTAGAAATTTGGTTGTGGAAAAAGAAAAGAGCAAGAGCTGAAGGTGGACATGGGTCCAGGGGAGTTAAATTTTTTTAAATATAAAATGAGAGACATGGTCCTGTTTACACCCGTTACCTAGCCTCATAAACAGACCTTTCTATGGATTAAAATTCTATTTTAAAAAAGCAAGAAAGGGATAGAGCAATAGCTCAATTTTTTGTCCCAACTCTTCCTCCCTGGACACCTAGCTCTTTCCACTCCTATTCCAGGGCTTTTCCTGTCACTGAAAGCCTACTCTCTACTTACCGTAGTATTTTAGTATTTCTGACAAAGAGAAAAGTACCTGGAACTCCAAGTACCAATACTTAACATATACGTATATCTACCAGACATATACATGTCTACCATGGCACTGTTTTAAGCAGTTTGCACATTTTAACTTATTTTCCTCATAAAAATGCCATGGCATCAGTGAAGAATTAGACTACCACACTCATACTTTCTCTTTTAAATAATTACATTAGAAAGTGTGGCACAGTAGAAACATTCCAGACCTCAGTCTCATACAGAGCATGGTTCAAATTTTGGCTCAGGACCTTCATAGTTACTTCATCTATAAAGCAGTTACAAAAATGTCTACCTAGATTTGCTTGAGTGAAGATCAAATGAGATCCCACAATGCTTAGTGCAAAGTCAGGGCTCAATAATACTATACCTCTGTATGTCGACAAACAAAGCAGCAATAGCCATGATAATAACAGAGAAACATTATATATTTCAAATGCAATTATTTCTGTTTTACTCCAAGCACCACTTACAACAAGGAGCAGAGTAGAGACATGAATGGCTGCACAAGCCATTTTAATTTTAAGTTCATAAAAGTCTACATTAATTGCATTATCTTACAAAATAATAACCTATGAGAGTATATAAAAAATAACTGAGCAAACATTATTTGGTACTTTTGATACTTCCATTAACTTCAACTTAACTATTCCCTTTCCGAATATAAAATTAAAAATTGGCAAGCTATTTACAAAAAGACGTGTAATTTTGTTAATCAGGTTGATATTCTGAACATCTTTTTCTTCAGTTCAGCTGTTTTCTCATCTATTTTAGTGTGACAGTCCTCTGTTGCCTTTTCAATGCCTTCATGGTATTTCTCCAAAGCAGCTTTCAAGCTGAGAAATATTTCCTAAGTAGAAAATGAAATATAATAAGAATTATTCCATGCAACGACCTAAACTAAAAATGAATTACAAGAATTCCAACAGTCTCGTTCATATTTATTAATAATATTTTAAAGCCTAAAGTACCTTATGCACATGTACACACTCGTATGTCTACTCTTATTAAGCTTTGCAGATGCATCAGAAACTCAGCTACTTAGAAAGAACAAAGCAGAGACATTAACAATGGCTTGAATTCCAAGACATTAAGAACATATTTTTAATCATCAAAGAAAAATTTTTACTTTGGAGCTTTTCATGTTTACTTGGCAAATACCTAGATTACTGTACTCTGCACTTGACCCTGATCATTATTTAAATGATATGTAAACAGATTTAATAGGTAATCTACAGGACTAAGAAATATAGGAATACCTTTTAGAATTGTTTTAACAAACTGATCAGGCAGTCCTACTATAAGCAATAGTGAGTTTTCATATAAACCTATATGGATGTGTTAAGAATTAAGAAAAAATTACAAAACAATTTCTATAGACTGAATGAAATAATAAATGAACCACTTTGCATACACTTTATTCTATCTCATACTCATCAAATGCAATTTTGATCCGTTTATTATCGATTTTTCTTAAACAAAACTATTCTCAAACCTTGATACAAGAAAAAGTAGTACTCTGAAAGATTATAAAAGGTGTTTCACCACTGAAATAGAACAGCAGGCCTTTTCCAATAGAAGGAAAAAGCAATAAATGGGTATAATGGGTATAAATGTTCTCAATTTTAAGTGCTGCTCCCATTAAACTTTTCTTAAACCCACAGTTTGGCTACTATTTTTTTTTTTTTTTTTTTTTTTTTTTTTTTTGCTTTTGT